CTAAGAAGCTTAAGCCACTTCCACGAGTTCGATCCCTGCCTGCCCCGAGGACATCTACATCGCATGGCAGACCTCTCCTGACCCTCCCGCTGCTCCCCTCAGCAGTGTACTTCCTCGATCTGCCACTCTGTCTCTGGTGAACCCTCTCACCCTCCGCATCTCTGGCCTATACCTCAGTTCTGTATGAATAAATAACTAAATCTTTAAAAAAATAAATAAATAAAATTAAAAATAAAAATGTTTAAGTGATATAGAAGTCATTCCTCACTTTTACCTACATATAGATCATGCCATACATACAGTTGTGTTTCTCAGCACTTTCAGTAGACCATTGTTGTCTTGGTATTTTGCAAGATCACATATAAATTGGGAAAATAATACCTACTCTAAATATTCAAAATTTCTAGATATTCAGAAATTCTAAGAAGTCCTGTGGTAGAATCACCTATTTGAACTTTGTCTATTAAAATGTGACCACATAATACTTTTTAAGTAATTTATTTCATTTTATGCTGTCAACATTTTAAACACTAGCATTTAATTATATACCACTAAGAAATAAGTTTCTAATTAAACTATACCGCCATATTTCCTTTCCATTAAAATTATTTTGTCTTTATTTTAAAAACTCTAAGAATGAACTAATTCATGTACAGTTTTTTTTTAATCATGTCATTCTTGTATATGTGTGGAATTTTTTTTAAATAAGCAATAATTGGCCCTCCCTGGTGGCGCAGCAGGTTAAAGCACAGCACTAAGAAGCTAAAGCCACTTCCGCATGAGTTCGATTCCCGCCTGCCCCGGAGGTGACCACATGGCACACGGCAGACCTCTCCTGACCCCCCATTGCTCCCCTCTGCAGTGTACTTCATCGATCTGCCTGTTCTGATCCCCACCCTGTCTCTGGCGAATCCTCTCACCACCCCAGTTCCATATGAATAAATAAATAAATCTTTAAAAATAAATAAATAAATAAATAAGCAATAATATTGTTCATGTACTTTCTTAACATATGGAGCTGACTCTTTTGAATTACTTTCCATGAACATTTACTGGTATGTATGTGTTTTCCATCCACTGTAATTCTCAGTACCATCAAAATGATTAATAATGTGGACTTTCTTCAAAGATTATCTTCATTAAAGTTTTCTTCCCAGTTCCTGAAACCAGTAAATTTTCACCTGGCAATTTTCTTTCTTTATCAAAACTAACGAAGGAAATTTTTTCAGGCAATAATTATAATGTATTTAAATGCCCTTTCACTTAAATGGCTGTAATTAATTACCAAAACTACAACTGGTTAGTTAAACCAACAAAGAAAAAAACAAATTTGCAAATGTTCAAATAGTAAAAACTGCATACAATTGTCTTATCCCCAACAGCAATTGTAAGATCACTTATATTATAGAATACATCATTATTTCAGAGATAGAATATTAAGGTTTTATGTCAAGCATTGAAGAAGCATTAATATCTAGTATCCTGCAAAATTAATGTTGGATAGGACATAATTTGTGAAGCATTTTATTTTGGTCAATTGCACACTGAAATCAGTAGTGTAAGTGTCAGTTACATCATTTACTGATCATTTATGTCAGTAAATTCAGGTTTGTACAGGATCTTGGATCATGATATCTCTGGAGAGGGAAAATTTGCCATGTGGATCCAGTTCTTCAAGGAATAATAAATCCCGTATTTTGTATCACTACCCAGGGAAAGATATCACCATATAGGTTTTCCAGTTTCTCTAGTTTTATGGTCCCAGTCTAGTAGACTTCGCCAGAACATGGGATTTACTATCAAGTAGATCTGAGTGGTTTTTAATGCTTTTATTTTCTAAATAATCTTGAGTAAGATATTTAGCATTCAAAATCTTTTACCTGTAAACAAGCCAAAACTGACAATAGACAGGGATGTAAAGAGATATAATAGAAAAGCATATACCAAAATGTTTTTATGGATTTTAAGTTCCTTCAGTAATGTTATTGCTGAAGTTCTGAAACTAACCATACCATGTCATGCCATAGCTGGATGGACAAATGCTTGTATTGTTCCAAAAATGGTTTTAGATGGATTTATGAATTTTAAATTCATATTATACACTGGGTAGAATATAGAGGCATATCTTATCGGCTATAACAGTATTCGTAAGTAAACCACTTACTAGGAAAAGCATAGCTTTCTGTTTTTCTGAGTACACAAAAGAAACTGCTCCTAAGATTTTTTTTATTAAAAACAAAACTATACAAGTTGATATTCAAGGACTCCAGCATGTTCATAATGCTGGTAAAATAATGAATTCAGAGTATCTTTTTTGTATTTACTCTCTATGAAAACCAATATTTTATACTTCACAGGTGTCAAGATACTCTCATCTAAATATATAATTATAATGTAATACAAAGTTGTTCCTAGATCATAATTAGATATAAAAATGGATGTGACCTATAGATTGGTCAATCAATAAGCTATACTAGAAAACTTGTTAACAGTTAACAGTTTACTTATTAAAGGAAACCAGGACTTGTGAAGGATAAGAAGTAACATGGTTGGATATACATTAAAGTCAGATATCTGTCTAACCTCAGGACCCTAGGAAATGCAGATGAGTATATAAAATGTCTCATGAACTTAACTGTCTCTGACATGACATACTAACATCCCACTACTAAGTTGGAAAATGCGGTACAGAGGGAAAAAGCCCTCCTCACCAAAATATTGTAAGAAATCCTTCGTATTTTGGAAATTTCTAAAGTTGATTTAATGTAATGATCCTGAAATAGGACAAAACCTAAATTGCAGTTGCAATCAATGCCAGGGTGGGCTTTCAAGTGCTAAGGCAGAAATTAGTTTGCTTTCTTGGTTAATCACTGTCATTCTGTACCAGACATCCTTTACCAAATGGGATGCCAACAATTAGCATGGTCTCTTACATATGTAAATTATATGCAAATAAAACTTAAAATTTTCTTCCAATCAGAAAACTATTCATAAAACCCTTCAAGGAAAAAAATTTGTGAAGCCAAACCTACTAAATCTTATACTGACACAAAGGGAGGAACTAATATGTAAATAAGCCAACTCAATTAAATTTTCCCACTAAATGGAACCAGAAGAGTAATACTGTTGTATTGTGCTTTCAGAGGATATAACCTTTTTTTTTTTTCTGTATGTAATAACAACTCCCTATATGATTTTGAAGACTATTAGGTTATATTACTTCAATTACTGCATCACTTAACAAAATGAAAAATTACTTTAGTGACCTCCTCTGTAAATATTTCCAAGCCTCTTCATTTAAAGATTGAACTACAAGATGGGGAATTCTGAATAAAATTATTTCGAATGTAAATATTTATCTGTTTAAAAAACCAAAAGTATTTGTTTTCTGTCCAAACACCAGCTAGAAAAATCAATATTTCTTTTGGAAGGAAATGGTCCAGCTGCTTAGGCATTATCTGTATGTTTTCTAAAACAGTAAGACATTAAATTTTGGCAAAACAAAACTTTGAAAAGAAAGTGCAAAGATAAATTTAATAGTAGGTGATAGGTTTCAAGTGTGTTACCACCTTTGAATATAGTGACCCAAATAATGGAATTAGATGAAGAAATTTATGTTATCTAAATATTCCTTATTTTACAGGATGGTTGATATTTTTTTGCAGCTTGGTCTTTATAGGATATTTAAAGATGGTAATTTTTTTATGAACAAATTCTGGTTGCTTATAGGTCTTTCAAAAAAGCCCTAATTTTGCTCTCATTTACATCTTTTTTAAAAAAAAGATTTATTTATTTATGCATACAGAACTGGGATACAAGCCAGAGGTGCAGGGACAGTGAGAGGATTAACCAGAGACAGAGTGGGGATCAGAACAGACAGATGGATGAAGTACACTGCTGAGAGGAGCAGTGGGCGGGCCAGGAGAGGTCTGCTGCCATGTGGATCACCTTCAGGACTGAGGATCGAGCTCCCACTGAAGCAGCTGTGACTCACTTGCAGTGCTGAGCTTTAACCTGCCGTGCCACCAGGGAGGGCCTGTTATTGGTCTTAACCAAGTTATGCATTAAAAACTTTTCAAAAAAATCTAAGAAATAATTGTAACCTTATAGTGATGTCATCCAAATATGATATATTGATTTTATCTATTTATGTAATGATAATAATGAGCAAGTCATGTGAACATATATCTTTTTGTAAAAAAAAAAATTAGAGGTATCAGTGTTTTAAATTTCTTACTACAAAGCATCATTTTATGATATTTTATAGAAGCATTCACTTTGATTTCATATATTCTGTTACTGTTTAATGTAAAGTTAAGTAATGTAGTATATACATGAATATATAAATATTGTTTAGGTTAGTTTCTTTATGCTTATTTACTAGCTCGCTATCCAAGGATTTGAAGTAGCTTACATTAACTTATAAAACAGAAAAAAAATCAATAACAAATAGACTAGGTTACTGGTAAACTTAGTTAGAATAAAAGTTCAAGATAAAGAAGGGAAATCAGAACACATAAGTGCCAGCCATTATAAGTATTGTAGTTATACAAATTTCTCTTGAAATCTACAGGTAGTGAATAAATGACAGTGTTGGGGAGAATATCAACATTAGCAAAAACATTGGAGCTTTTGAAATTTTTATTAAAGAGAACTAACTACATTATCAAACGACTCAGTTAAGTTGATTATGAGACTAAATTAATATCAATTTTTACGTAGTTGATTAATTATTCACTCTAAGAATTACAAGTACTTTGTGATAAATATTTGCATTTGAAAAGTCATAACCATTGGAAGAACTGATTTTTTTTAATCTGTTTAATGTACTAATTAAATGACAGCAAGAAAATCAGTGTAGTAGTAGTTGCTGCATATGCAATTGAATTTAATGGAACTATAATTATAGAGAAAAAACTGACAGCGAAGTAAACAGAGGGAAACAGTGCTAAAACAAAAATAGCACAAACTGATATGTATGTTTCTCTGAAAAATTCCAGGTGTTGTCAAAGTGGATTATGGAGATGTGTCAGTCAGAAAAACGCTAAGAGAAAATCTGAACTGTAAGCCCTTTTCCTGGTACCTAGAAAACATCTACCCGGACTCCCAGATCCCAAGACGTTATTACTCACTTGGTGAGGTATGAATTATTTATTTTGGTTAACTTATAAATATATTTTGCAAATGGAGCAATTTCTAAGGAACCCATTATTTTTCAGGTTATGAATAAAATGCTTTAAGATTTTCAAAATAAATCTGTTTTAAATGACTTTTCATATTTACAAGGACCATAATGGTCTTCATTGTGGGGATTTATGAAAGTAAGGGGACAATTTTAGACTGAATAAATAGTATTTTCTTGTTGGTTTTTACTAATAACTCTTAAACTTTTGTCATATTAATATTATACTCAAAATTTATTGTGAACCACAAAGAACTTTTGTTCATATGGATTATAATTATTAGTACTTACTGTATTGAAATTAAAACTGAAAGCTTGAAAACCTATTTATTAATTCATTAAAATGGCATAATAATCCTTGAGATATTGAGGCAACTTTTTTTTTAAAGATTTATTTATTTATGCTTACAGAGGTATGGTGGGTGAGAGGATTCACCAAAGACAGAGTGGGGAACAGAACAGGCAGACTAACAAAGTACACTGCTGAGGGGAGCAGCGGGCGGGTCAGAAGAGGTCTGCCCGGCCATGTGGGTCAGCTTCCTGACCGGGGATACAACTCCAGCTGCAGTTGCTTCGGAGAGCTTCAGAATGTGGTGCTTTAATCCATTGCGCCACCAGGGAGAGCCCAGAAGTAACATTTTAAAAAATATTTCCATAGGCCCTCCCTGGTGGCGCAGCGGGTTAAAGCACAGCACTGAGAATGTAAAGCCGCTTCCACATGAGTTCGATTCTCGCCTGCCCCGGAGGAGACCACATGGCGTGGCAGACCTCTCCTGACCCGCCCGCTGCTCCCCTCAGCAGTGTACTTCCTCCATCTGCCTGTTCTGCTCCCCACTCTGTCTCTGGTGAAGCCTCTCACCGCCCCTGAGCCTCTGGCCTGTACCCCAGTTCTGTATGCACAAATAATAAATCTTAAAAAAAAAAAAAAAAAAAAAAAAAAAAAAAAAAAAAAAAAAAAATATTTCCATAGTAAAATCGAATTATAAAATGTTTAGTATTTTTTGTATTTCTATAACATGCATTAATGTCTGACTTAATAGAAGATATCTGTATTTTTATATCTGCTTTGATATTATAATATCACCCACTACTTAGCTTCTTGAAGATTCCAGATACATTCTTGAGAAGAATGAAAACTACAAATAATATCTTAACAGTACTATTAAAATTTTATTGACTTTTTAGATTTACTGAGAAACATGTTTGCACCATTCTTTTCCAAAATACATAATATCAATAGAAATACACATTTGGTATAAAAAGCAGATTTGATTTTACCATAACTATAGAAACAAGTGCACATAATATATGTTCTGTTGTTCCAAATAAGATGTATTGCATTATGAATTAGATGCTCCATATTGGTAATTTCCCACTTAATAAAGATTAGGTTTGGGGATCAAACATGTTATATGGGTAATGATATAATACATTTGAAAATTAATCAATACATTTGTTTTTACATCAAAACTGGAATTTTGTAGGTCATAAGATAGAATATCTAAAAATTCAGTTATATTTGATACATTTCTTGATTCTCTCGCAAAAATAAAATCTATAAATCTACCCATAACTTTATCTGCTCTATAACTTTAATTCATAAGCCTACTTTTCTTATGGTCAAATCAAGTCATTTCTGAAACACTTGAGCAGAACATGACCCTAGCTGAATTGTTTTTCAAGGTGTTTTTTCTATGCTATATCCAGGACCTAGTTGCCAAATCTCCAGTTCTGCATTTGCAATAAAATATCTCTGTGTAGAATCTCTTTTCCCATATATTTGAACTTACTGGAATGAAAGTCATGTGTAATAACAAGGAATTTACCCATTAATAGGTGGGGCACTTTCAATCATTTCATGGTCCTGTGCCTCAGGATTTGTTTTCTTTCTTTCTGTTTTTGTTTTGTTTTTGTTTTTGTTTTTTTTAAGATTGATTTATTTATGCATACAGAACTGGGGTACAGACCAGAACTGCAGGGGCAGTGAGAGGATTCACCAGAGACAGAGTGGGGAGCAGAACAGGCAGATTAACTGAAATACACTGCTGAGGGGAGCAGCAGGCGGGTCAGGAGAGGTCTGCCACACCATATGGGTCACCTCCTCCAGGGCCAGGGATGGAACTCATGCTGCAGTGGCTTTAGCTTTGTAGTGCTGTGCTTTAACCCGCTGTACCACCAGGGAGGGCCCTGTTTTCTTTTCTTAATTATACTTCATATTGGGGAGGGTTGTTCCTTTGTTTTCAAATATGTGGTAGTCCCCTGATAGCACTAACATCACAGGGATTTATATTTAATACTTAAAATATACAAAGTTAATTTTAAAACTAGAATGCTTTACATAATAATTATTATAATCTAGTTCTACAAAAGAGCCCCCAAAATATCGAATACACTCATTTCTTTACTGAAAAGTTTCTTGAACCTCAATTCTTACATCTGTAATAAAAATCCAATTTTATGCTTTCCTGGAGTACATCAATAAAAACTAATAAATTGACTTTCTGAGAAAGTAAAAATAGATTTAGTGCCACAAATTCCTTCTGTGTAACCTACAAATTTTGTATTAACTATCTTTCCGAAGTAGATCGGCTGGCCATATTTAAATATACAAAAATATTTTCAGACGATATTAAAGAGTGAGATTGTGCCTTTCTGGATTTTTGACAATAAAACACAGCATGTGTGTTGTGAAATCCCAAGCTCTGGAGTCAGAGAGGCCGAGTTACATCCTCACCTCACAGTTCATGGCTTGAGTGACAGAAGATATCACCTAGTAGCTGTCAGCACTTTAAAGTTAATGATGCACGGTGATAGTGGTCTTGAAGCTATAAAGCACCTAGCGCAATGCCTGGGAAAATATAGCATCCCTCCCTCCATGGTGGCCCAATGGGTTAGCAGGCAGCACTGCAAGCGAGCCTCAGCCGCTTTAGTGCCAGTTGATCCCCCGCCCGGAGGTGATCCACATGGTGGCGCAGCAGACCTCTCCTGACCCGCCCGCTGCTCCTCTCAGCAGTGGACTTCATTGATCTGCCTGTTCTGCTCTCCACTCTGTCTCTGGTGAATCCTCTCGCCGCCCCTGAGCCTCTGGCCTGTACCCCAGTTCTGTACGAAATAAATCTTTTTTAAAAAGGTTGCATCCGCACTGGTAGTTACAGACGTTGTGGTTATTACAGCTGCCATTTATTGATTTCTTACTGCATCTATTATATTAGTGCTTTGTAACATTTGGATTATTTAAAAATCACAACTCCATTACTTGAGTTTCATTACTACCTATTAAATATGGAAACTTACATGTAAACATTTTATGTGATTGACCTTTTGGGTGATAGAGCTAGCTAACTACTGGATTCATAATCCAAATACAGTTAGTATGATGTAATGCTCACTTTTTACTATAACTAGAAGGAGAAAATTACTTACTATGTTGTAGTCATTCATAATGTCTTTGTTAAATTAGATCTTGAGCTGGAACAATGTTATATGCTAAGGATTCAAAGTCAATTATGGAAAGACCTTTACTATTAAGTCATTTTTTACTGAACTGGGGGGTGGGGAGAGAGAATCAAATAGGTAAGAAATTCAGTAGAAATAAAGTACTACATGAGTTATATGGGCATGTTAGAAACTACTGTTCTGAAGCCTATTAAATTGAAAAATTCGTAAGATATGTTAAATTTTGAAGTTGCTGGGATATTAATGTACTGTAGTTTTTCACTTTAAAACTAGCCTTAACAAGATGCAACCCAGCATCTGTTTCCATGGAAACAGAAGGACAAATTCACCAAGCGTATTTTCCAATTCAGTTTTGCATAATCATATATACATAATTTAAAATGAACATTTTGATAATGAGTTGGAATGGACAATATTTATTTACTATGTATTTCTCTTTCTTACTGTATGCCATTAACCATTATTGAAAAAAATATCAAAAAACTTATTTCTTCTTCCAGTATATAAAGACATTTCTCTCAAACTACTTATCAAGCATCCAAACTGCTTATCAAGACAAGAGTATTCTTTCGTAATATATTCATATGCACACATCACTTGATTTCAAGTGAAATTATTAGGACTTAGCAATTTATAATTTCCCTACATCGTAATGGTTTTCAAATTCTTTATTTTTAATGTTGCAGTATATTGGTGCATATAAACATTTACCTGTTCATTTCTTTTTATAAGTTTCCCAGATGTATTGAAAGATAGAGGTAAATATAGTGTTCAGCTTTTCTATTATTGTATATCATCACAAGAAAATAATCATCTATAGTTATATCAGACTGCTGTATCTTAATTTCTTATGTTTGCATTTTGCTCAGGTAATTGAAATATTACTTTATCCAGCCCATGAATTAAATGTAATTTCCAATGGGAAATTAAAAGCTGTTCAATTGCCTCGAATAAAGCCTTTAAGTAGCTTAATGAAGCATGTGCCTTTTAGACTCAGTAAGCGGATCATAATGGAATAAGGAAATTGAGCTTGTTGCAGCCTTAAATTCTTTCTTAACTAGCCCTTTAGCTTATTTGGATTTAGTATGCCAGGCTTTGGTCTTGTAAATATAAATGCCAACTTAACTATGAGTTTGAAAAATAACATTCTAAAGTAGTAATGTGCCATGCCCTATTGTGGGGGGAAGGGAAATGTATCATGAGCTTTATAGAAGACAACAAAACAGGACAAGAGAATAAAGAGGAGGATTTCTGGAGTCAAGTGGCTAACTCTTCGGAGCTTGATAATTGTGTTGAATGTGTTTTAACATTAAGCTATGTGCTTTGCATTACCTACCTGACCCCAGCTCTTTTTCATTTTGTATCCTTTTTCCTCTTATACCTAGTTGAGGTCCATCCACAAATGGATATTGTATCCCTTATATATTATTGAAAAGAAAATTTAAATAACAGAAATAAACATCTGAGAAGCTGCTAGATTGACGGGATTAAAAATAAAATCAGTTACTGCCAAATGCAGAGGCTAAGCCACTGAGAGCTTTAGTCTTTTTGGTAATCAGGAGATCTATTAATAGGTACACAGTCTTCTGACCCTTTAATAGGGTAACTGGCAAGAAAGTTTCATTTTTAGATGAAGTACACAACTGGAGGCATTCTTTCTATCTGTAACTCCTAGAGACACTGCAGATAATTTTTATAAAAGGGTTAGTGAATATTCATATGTATAGGTAAACTGTGTTATTCTAAATCAGACTTTAACCTTGAAGAATGTAGATCATTTTGTTCATGTAAACAAAATGAACAATTTTATCTGAAGAGATGCTTTATACTTTACAATGCTAATAATTAGACTAGAACTAATTCTATTTTTCAAGTATATATTATATAAGTAAGTGCAACAAAGTAAAATGCCAGATTGGTATTCACCAAATTCTCACAAGATTTTTGTTATTTTGTTGTTATTGTTACTCACTAGAGTAAATGTTTTAATTTTCTATGCCTCTTACTTTTTTCTAAAAGGAGTTTAGCAATCACATATTAAGTATTTATAGTTGTCAATCAGAAAATTCTAAACCCATGACTATATAAGCAAAGTCAGACTGGGTTTGTGAAATAGAGATTTCACACTCATCCTTTGTGATTTATTCACCATTTAGTCAAGAGAAAATAAGTTTAAATGTGTATTCATCAGCCCAATTATAATATGGAAACATTAACATTAAACTCTGAAATTCACTGCAGATGTGCTTATTTCCTTCTTTACAAAGTAAATAAAAGCCAAGAGAGGCTGGCATATGTAAAATAATGATGAGTAACATAAGGTAAAAATTGAAGGGTAAGCATGTATTGGCGCAATTAAATTTTTTTCAAAGCTAGTTTGTTTTATCTCTTATCTATAGCATGGATTTTACATATTAGTTTTGAAACAAAGATTTGAGTATAAGGGGGGAGTTTGCTTTTTTTTTTTTTTAATTAACATTTCTATTGTTGGATATTACAATCCAGTGGAAGGAGCAAAAACTAATGAACAGATGATATATAGTGGTAAGAATATTACCAGTGATGCTGTTGATGATTAGAAACACATAGGGAAAAATCTTGCTCATTAAAGAAATCAAATACAAGTGGAAAAACATGTTTTCTACAATTGTTTTTCAAGCCATAAGTGATTCATAAACAAAGAAGCCTCAAAGTAGACAGCAGTCAAATTGGACCTATGTCACATATTCAAAGCTATACCATCACCTAAAGAATATGTCAAAAGAGTTTCCTAGCTCTCCAAACTACTGGTATGCTTTGTTTAGTTGATACAATAGACTCTTTAAGGAATTTCTAATGCATAAAGAAAGACCTTCAGTGGTTGGTTGGTTACCAAGATTTTTCTCCGAATTAATGGCATAAGCAAACAGTCAGTATTTTTAGAAAATATGGTATCAATGATGTCTCATTCCTGAAAATCCCTGAACTTTACTTATTTGATTAAACAACATTCTTTGGAATTGAAACCCCAGCAAGTTCATAGAAATATTCTATTTTAAAAATTATAAAAGATCATCCTTCTGATCTGAGCAATCTTTGAGTCTCAAAAGATGCGATACATAATTTGAATTTTCCTGTATGCCAACAGAACACACTAGTGACCATATCTTATTTTGAAGATGATATAGTAGATTCCCATAGTGTTGAATTCACTGACTTGAGAACCACCACAGTGACACCACACAGCATGCTTTAAGTTTTTGGATTTTTTTTTAAGTCTGGATTTCATAGACCTAGTGACTTACCTTTCAAATATTGTCCCTATCCAGATGATGACTTCTTCCTATTTTCCTTTTTTTTTTTTTTTTGATGAAACTATTGATACCCCACTCCCTATCTCTCCATCGCCCTTCTGTTTTTATCCAATGCCATCCTGGCCATAGCCAGAATTTATTTCTATAACATTAAGTCCAGCAGTCTGGCACTCAGCATAAAGAACAGTTTGCTCCTTATCGTCCTGACCTGACCCCCTGCTCTGATCTCAGGACACTCATCTTTCATGTACCTTGCTGCCAGTGTCATCGCCATTGTCTGGATGACCTGTCATCATCTGACCCTCTGTCCAAGTAGGACTCAAAACTCCCATGTTCTTTCCAGATTCCTTTGTGACAAATAATGCCTGTCATCTAGATGTCAGATTTGGCAATTTCCAAATTAATTTTAATAACTTTCAGTGCTTTATTTGAGCAAGTTAATTAATTTCTCTGCATGGTCTTGTGTTCATTAATAAGAATAGAATAAACCCTTGACTATATATTTTAAGTTAGCTATTATACATAAGTACAACGCATGACAATAAATAAATAAATCTTGAAAACCAAGGACCCATAAGCCTGGTTAAAAATTAGCAACCTGGGGCTCACCCTGGTGGCACAACAGGTTAAAGCACAGCACTATGAAGCTCTCAGAAGCCACTGCTGCTTGAGTTCAATCCCTAGTCAGGGAGGTGACCCACATGGCACAACAGACCTCCCCTGACCCACCCACTGCTCCCTCAGCAGTGTACTTCGTCAATCTGCCTGTTTTATTCCCCACTCTATCTCTGATGAATCTTCTCACCCACCACACCTCTGGCCTGTACTCCAGTTCTGTAAGCATAAATAAATAAACCTTAAAAAAAAAAAAATAGCAACTTGGCAGACACTGAAAACATGGAACAGTGTTGAAATTCTTAAAAAAATAGAACAGCTTTCCAACTCTTTAATAAAACACTGGAGCAGCAGCTTTAGACATATGAAGTTAGAAATGGTCTTCTGTGTAAGCATTTCCTGTCAGAGATTTCTGAAAACATTAACCCTTAAACATCTCCCCTGGCTATTGGAGGAAGAAGTTTTGCTTTGAAAATTTACTGAAGAGTAGGATAACATACCAGATGTCCCACTGAAATGCTACTATCATAACATTCAGCTGAACTGAATACGCTTTGAATCTTCTGTTGTTCAGCAAAGACAAATGGCTTAGCCTGCAGCCCCTGTAATTATTGACCTGTACCTATTCAGACACCTAGCAGAGATCTTTTAATTCAAATTTCATAGCTTACATTTAAAGGGGAATTATTCATTTCGTGAGAAGTATTTCTTCCTGTAAAAAGTATAGTGTTTCATGATTCCATACATTTTAGGAATGCTGAATTAATTATAGCAAATAACACTGTTAAATATGCCGTTGTGAAAATTAACCAAGAATGTCTAATCTAGAGATTTAAAAGCAATTCAACTGGGTATTGTGAATCAAAGGCAGACTAATTTACTACATCATCTATTACATTGCTTTCTCCCATCCTAGCTAGCTTCAGATCCTGAAAAAAAGTCATAGTCTTTACTTATAAAATCTTTCTCCTGTGCCCAAACCAACCTGAGACAGATAGAGGGAGGATACAGTTTAGACTTAATTTAGTCCATCCTCTGTAGAAGCACTTGAGCTTATTCATGTGCCAGTACAATAAAACCTGTACATAGTAGAAATTAAGTAGATATATCCAAATAATCTATGAGTTAACAGTAAAATGTTACTGTTAACAAACTTTTCAGAAGCAAGAAGCAAGTGCAAATAGATACTTGAGGTTCAGGTTAAAGAAAAATCTAAAACCAAGTATTAGAAAGATTTTTCTTTTTTTTTTTTTTTGCATTCATTTGTGCTTAATTTAGTAATTTCAGCATCTTAGAATACAATGGATGGTTTTTGTAATTACATTTGGCTCAAATATGTATTAACTTTATGTTAATTATGGGACTAATGCAGCGTTTGAGTGTAAGTCAAGAATGTTAAGTTTGCAGTTGGCAATTTAATCTTGCTTTTGAGGAATTTTTAATGAGAAATCACCATTTACGTTTTAATAACTTTTGTTAGGGTCAAATGGTTTCCATTTAGTTTGGCTTTGGTAATGAAAAAAGATGCATGGAATAGTTTTAGTTACATAAGTAAACAATGTAATCAATCTTTATTAGTATGTGAATGGGACATCTAGCAATGAAGTAATCTAAAGAGACATATTTGAATGTTAATTTGTTTTCATTTCTTTGTACATGGTATTATAGGAGTTTAAGAATAGACTGAATAGAATATGGAAACTGTTCAAATTTTAAAGGATTTTTGGGGCAAATTCCTAATTTATAATCTATAGGTATTTCCTTTCACTCTAATTCTATGTTATAAACAGAGTGTGTTTTGATTAGAATCAAGTGACAGTGTCAGTGCTATTCAAGTTTTCTTCAATAAAAGTTTATAAACCTGTTCATATTTAAAAACTCATATAGAAAGTAAGGGAAATATTTAAAGGAATGTGTTTTTGGAGAAATTTATTTACAAAGTATAGTCCTTAAATATGTTCCTTTAAAGTATCTGAAAAAATTTTTATATCATTATCTGATTTATGTTTTTGCATGTGTCTTCTTTAGATAAGAAATGTTGAAACCAACCAATGTTTAGACAACATGGGCCGCAAGGAAAATGAAAAAGTGGGTATATTCAACTGTCATGGCATGGGAGGAAATCAGGTAAATGCTCTGTTTTTATCAACTTTACATATTTTTTGGTGGAAATACTGTGAAAAATATCAAGGTAGGCCATGGTCACATGCCAATGTCAATAAAGTCTTAGATTAGCAAATTAGTGGACATTTGAATCAGGAACTAACTGGGCTATTTTATCTCAAGTATCTTAAGAAAGCTTTTAAACTACAGATTTTAATTAAAAAAAAAATTCAATGAGCCCACAGTTGAGGACAGTCAACTATTTTAGACTCATTTTACCATACATGAGCAAGTGAGGACTACATTTTATTCTGTCAACTAAATAAAAGGAATAATCTCTCAACAACCGCAATATTTTCCCAGAGGTAATATTCTTTTGCAGATGTTTATATATGTCACATTTTCTGTGGCTAGCTGAGGTTCAATAAAATTTTCAAGTTTTTATTTATTTATTTATTTATTTATTTATTTTTTAAGATTTATTTACAGAACTGAGATACAGGCCAGCAGGCCAGAGGTTCAGGGGCAGTGAGAGGATTCACCAGAAACTAAATGGGAAGCAGAACAGGCAGGCTGATGAAGTACATTGTTGAGGGGCAGCAGGCAAGATTGGAAAGGTCTTCTGTGCCATGTGGGTCACCTCCCTGGCCTGGATGGAACACATTCCGCAGTGGCTGGTGATAGTTTTATAGTGCTCTCTTTAACCTGAGTGCCACTAGTGAGACCCGAGGTTCAATAAAATTTTAAAGTACACAGATAAGCATATTTCTTTTATTTTGCTTTGACTATCTGAAGATATGTTTTGGACCAGTTAAAAATAGAGTAGATAAAACTAGTCACTGAAGAAAATTCTAGACAGTTTTAAGTTTTATGTGTGTGACAGTCCAGTTATCAAAGATGTACCAGAATATCACAAAGATTCTTGTGTTCTTTTTCTACATTGGCAACTAGTGTGTGTGGTTGCCCACTTTGAAGCTGTCTGGCTGTGAGTCTAGGCAAAGTTTCCCTGTTTCCATGCCCAGCAGAAACAGAGGTTGAAATTTGTGAGGTTTATAACAAATTCTACAGCAGAATTTGAGCTAATCCATCCTCTGTAGACAAGTTGTTCACAAAAGTCAAGGAGAAACACACTTATGAGTACTTTATCTAGTGTGTTAGAGTGAACTAAGGAAGCAAGTGGTGTTTGCTCCAGCACAATATTTTTGATATATTCGTGATACAGCTCACGTTTCAAGTATCTATACAGAAAGCAATAAGATAAAAGCTCTTTTAGATTTTATACCATACTTCATATAGGATTTTTATGAGTCAATGAAAATCATTAAGGAAGTTTCTTGTTTAAAAAAAGAAAAAACTAATAACAGCCACAAGCCATACTAATTAAAATCCTAATTAGCATTCCCAAATTTCAATTCAGCAAGAATATATTTAAAACAAACTTCCTATATTACAGCATAGAAAAATAAACTTAGAGAAGAAAATGTTAGAGAAGCAAAGGTAGAAGTTATAGAACATTCACAAATAATTGAATTTACTTTATTAGGTCAGTAAATATGAGAAACTGTTACTACCAAAAAGGAATGGAGTCCTAATAACTTTAGCCAGAAATAGAAAATACAGCTGAAGTGTCAGAGAACTAAATGTGCAGGGGTTCATTGTTTCCCTAATAAGAATCTAAAGCTAGTTAACTCTTGATACTGGGCTACGCCCTCAATGTTTCCTTCTAGAACCAGAATCTTATTTTCTTTCCATTCTTCAATCCTTGAAGTTATTTTAACCATCAGCTGGTCACAAGAGGGCTGCTGAACTCTAGATAGCTTGTTCACATTCAAGGCAGGAAGGAGTGGGATTAGGGAAAAGCTGCAGTAAGCCATCTCTGTCCTTTTATTAGGAAAAGCAAAAGCCTTTCAAGAGGTTGAACACACTTCCATCTATATCTGCATGGCCAAAAATGTGTAACTTGGTTACCCCTAGCATAAAACTCTACTTCACATCATACTCACAGATGGCTGCTTCTAACAGCTCACTTCCCGTCAATATTGAGTGGATATTTAGAAGTGTCTTCCTTACTGTGACACAAAAACTTGTGAAAAAAGTCAATCAGTCATCTGTACCATAATGAACGACAGTTCATTCAAAGAGGGAGATATTATTTATGATAGCACTCTGATTCCAATACACATGAAAATGAGGATGATAACTCAAATGAATTATCCTCCTATATTCCTTAAATTGCCATGGTTAGTGTTAGAATGGATAGCCAATCGTATACCTAATACCTTAAATTTTATAAATAAGAGACAATAAGCACCTGAATCATAGCAGTTAAAATTATCACTATTCATTTATGAATTTTCAAATACCGAAAATAATCTCTTCCTTCCCCCTCCCCTATACTATAAACTTAATGTTGGCAGGAGCTTTATCTTACTCCTCTCTTCATCCCCAGCAGCTGGCACAATTGCTTGGGAAATGGTTTGGAGCTAATTAATATGAACCAAGTAAATAGATATCAAAACTATGGATTTACTGTAGTGCTATTTAAACATCACCAACAAATGCTATTTCTGTCATAGTAACCTCAGGAACATAACGAATCCAATCTCAGGGTTCATAAGAAGAGTGAACAAATAAATAAGCTAAAAAAAAATACCTCTATATGGTCTATGTTTCTAAATTATGAACTTAATAACAAAATATAAGTTAAAAACCAATGTTTTTTTCTACATCAATACTTATTCATGTCTACAAATATAGGTACAAGAATGTTTAAAGTCCTTTTACTTGTAACTGTGGAAGCAACTAAATTTTTACCAATTGGCAAATGTTTAAATAAATCATTTTGTAACTGTTGTATGGAATACTGTATCATCACCAGAATGACTGAGAGAGGCCTATATATACTGTCAAAAAATTGAAAAAAGAGGACTAATCCACAGCTCAACATAGTGAATTATTGGGCTTATGACCACTTTTTCCATGTTGTAAATATAATGTCTGGATTTATATAAGTGCTATATAATCTGTTGGGCTTGTACAGAAATGCATCCGGAATATATTTAACTTTGAAGACAAGATTTACAGTAGGAAATTTCACCTATACCTGCTCCCATTTTTTCAAGTATATGCATTACTTTAATTATTAAGTTTAAAAAATGGAGAAAATTAAGCTGTTAAGAATAAAGCAATCTATTTTTAAGGATTAATCTGACCTAATTAATTGGGTAACTTATCGTCAGCTACTTACTATTTTTTGAACTTTAGTTTTTATTATCTAAAAAAAGGATACAAAATTTCCCCTAATATTTTTTTTTCTCCAAAAACTAATCAACTGTGTAAAACACTATCACTACTTTGGCATATACTAGAAGTTCAATACTTATCGGTCTGCTGCCTAAATTAATTTCTTTATTATTTCCACTTGTGTCCCTATTACTTTTCTTTCTACTTATAAAAATAAAAAACTGTTCATTCATAGGCTAATGTCAGAGGCAAGATAATGGTAAAATGATTTCAATCGTATTGTTAAGCTCTTTAAAATGAACTACCTCTTCTTTTGTTCTAACATATATATATAATGCATAAAAAAGTCAAACCATCACATAAAACACTGTTATTATAATTTATACTTCATTAAAATTAAATTTTTAAAGGTAATATCAGGGACATGTTAATTTTTTTACTTAGATTTAAAAAATAACAATTTTTATGTTTTTATTCTCAGAGCTACTTTCCCCGCTTTTTATTGCTATCCTTTTATGTTACCATGGAAGCAGAATCTATTTTTACAGTTATTTAGTTTTGTATTTTTTAAAGTAGCCCAATCTATTAAAATATTCAAATTTCTCTCCTGTTTTTATACAAAAGTCTTTTAATAAATGTTCACAATGTATTTTAGCCTTTCTACTTAGTCAGTTACTTCAAAGAGGGCACTTTATGTTGGTTGACAATTTTACCTTAACTATTTCTTCTTCTATAGCAGTTTTTGTGAGTGGTTTTTATTTTTGTTCTTTGATATATGTAAAAGAAACTTACTTTTCAGTTGCTAGAAATATTTTTCTTAAACACTGAGATATCATCCCCAGCATTTGATGTAGTACATGTGGTGTGGTCAGCCCCTAACAAAATCTAGTCACATATCAGCAGTTGAAAGAATTTGTGGAACTTTTTGTAGCAGGTATACTACATAAACAAGAAAGTGAGTGCAAAACTATATAATTCAACACCTCATCTTCCTGAAAAGTTCATTTAAAGAACGTAGTAATAAAAATTTTCTTCCTCCAAGAATAATGACAAAATTAGACTGTTTGTACTGATTTTTGAAATGCTTCCTTTTCTTGAGCAAGTAATAGCATGATGATCGTGAAATACGTCCTAAAGAATGAAAATAAAAAAGGAATTTGAAACTCAAATATCAGTTTTTGTTATTGAAATAGTGTAATGATTTACTGATATAAAAATATGTTACTCAAAGTTATGGTCTTTTATATCCTTGTAAAGGGATTGCATCGATTCCTGCAAGCAGTTCCATGCGCGCTATTATCCTATGCTAGTGAATCAGATTTATATCTCCTTCCCCACTCTTTCTCCTGAGCGCCCGGACACTCTTGTGAATTAATTATTGTGACTTAATTGGCATCTTAAACTCATTTGTTTTCAAAATGGGCTCATTTTCATTGCTTTAACTCAATCATCCAAGATTGGAACCCTGAATAAAAATTTTACTTCTGAAGTTTGATAGTCACAAACTGATTTTTCTAAGAAAATAATGTCCATTGTGACCTACCTCTAGACCTCTTTACAATAAAGATTCCATTTTTGTCATAGTGTATATATTCTTTTACATGTGTGGTCAAAATGCCTCATTGTTTCTATGTCTACATAATTCATGCTACATTAGAATTAAAATCTGATAAAAACTTTCAACTGTTCTTCACTGCCCGAAGAATAAAGAACACAATTCATTAGTTATGATATGCAAATCTCATAACTTTATCCCCATCTGGCTTTCCAGACTCGCTTCC